GAAATTAACCGACCAACCGAACTGTACCGCGTGATAAAGGGCGAATGAAACTATCCTGATTTTGCGCCAGGTCTGTGAGAAAGCGTGTACCTGCACGGAAATGGAGCTCCTGCAAGACTGGGTGGTATTCAGCTTACCGAATTTCATTCAGAGCCTGCCGGTGGCGATGTCGACCTGGTGCTTGTCCTGCTTCTTTATAAGCGCATCGACGAATCATTGGTTGAGAGCTCTGTATCCTTTTCCGACGCGATGGAATTTTCTAATTTTCTGCAGTGAAATACATGGATTCCTTAACTAAAATATGACAGATTTCCGTATGTTCAGTCGAGGATAGGAAAGTACGAGTACGGAAGACAAGAAAATGTTGTGTATAGCCGCTTCAGATTTTTATCATAAGGTGAATTAAAATTTTTCTCACTTTATTTCAAATTACATTGTGGCTACTTTCGTTTTATTGACCGTGTGTTTTCCAGTTATCCAAAGAGTCTCAGAAGAAAGCGTTTGTCGAGACTTTCGAGGCTGCCGCGAAGGAACCTGGAACTCCATTCAGCGACATTTTAGCATCCTTTTAATTAATAATAATCATAGTCGGCAGAATCTACAACGCGAGAGACATTCAACAGAAGATTTTAAACCCAAGTTGTAAAAATCTATGTACAATCATTGATAGGTTGACGCGCTGTGCTACAAACGTATGTATATTTGTATGTATAATGATATTTATTTTGCATTATGTCCCATCAAAGAGAGATGTGCAACTTGTTTTGCAATAAACAGTATTTTTTAAGTAAATCCATCGTGCTGACTTGTATATAATCGTTTGTGGGCAAATGTAGAACCATATTGAATACTGACACAACTTTTTATCGTACAGATTTCTGAAGGAACGAACATTATATCTGATTATACAAGAGAGATATTTACGGAAGAGTTAAATTCTTACAAATCGCATTATTGTGAACTCGAAATAAAAATGCGCGCGTTTTTATTGCAATTTTTCGCGAATTTTCAACTATCGCGTTTCTTCCATGCAGTTTACGCTTCGCACGATAGCACATACGCAGAGTGGCGTAGTTGAAGTGAACGAGAGCACGCTGGCGCCGAGGAACAAGTCTGCCGCACCGTCGACTGTGACTGTAACAGAAAATAATACAACATAGGATGAGGAAGAATCCAAAAGTAAAGAAGAGATCTTTAGGATTTCCAAAACAAAAATGTTTCTCTGACTTCTTTTCGTAATAAATGTAATAATTTAACTTAAAAGTGTAATCAATAGCTCACTCATCGTACGACTTTCTCTAGTGACGCATCAATTTATACAACTAACTTATAATTAACACAATTAATAATTAACAATTATTTTACAATTAACTTATTATGCTCTGTAGAAACTTTACAATGAGAGTGGTCGTCGATAACATTGTATCAGATTCATTTTTACTGAAGAAACAAGTATTGTGATGCAAGAAAGGTATCTACGAAACAATTAAATTCTTAGCTGCGCAATATTTTCTGCAATAATTACGTTTCTAAAGTGTTTAGTTTCTCCGCAGTGTAATAAGCATCGTTGCAAAGCGCGTGGCAGTTGCATCTGGACGGTACATATCTCTGCAAAAAAAGTTTTTTTATAATATCAATACAACGCAGCTGCGTGGCATCGCACACCGGAACGTTGGCTAAACACAGAACATATTTAATATATAATTTCTTTACAAATAAATATTTTTAATTATTTCAAATTTTTGTCTTCATGTTACTTTGTTTTTTATTGCAAAACTTTAGGTAACGAAAAAGAAAGGAATACAATCAATAAGACAATATAGCTATATATACAGAGTAGAGAACTACATATGCATATTTATATTCTTCCAATTAATATATTAATTGTATTTATAACAGTATAAATAAGTTTGGTAAATAATGCGTATTTTTTGATATAATTATTATCTGAGAACAGTTCTATTTGAGATGTAAATAATTAGTTCTGCATTATTTCTCAAAAAACCATTCGTGTAAATGATATGATATAACATCTTTTTCGCGGGGTAGTAATTGCTATACCAACATAGGCATGATGTTGCAGCGCTTCTTCATGACTTGAACTTCATAGTTTTGACTGACGTATCAATATTTACATTCAAATGAAGAACCATACGTATTTCTTCGTCTTCTTGTACCGTATTCAGTTATCTCTGTTCTGTAAGGAGAAACGGACACAATGTCAGAAGTTATTGTAACGGAAAAAAACGTGTGGCAATATTACGAAAGAGTGTCAAATTACGAAGCAAAATGCAGGTTATGCAGACAAAATTATGTTTACGTCTATTCAACCTTCAGACTACATATAACAGCAAAAATTCATGATGATATAACAACATACGAAGAAACATGTAAAGGACGACAAGAATGGCCATGGACATGTTATAAGTACAATGATACTTTCTCACAATGTCTTTTCTGTCGTAAGAATTTTCAATCTGATTTTCAGTCTTTAGCATCTCATCTACACCACAAGCATGTTAACGAAGTGAAGAATTACGTACTTCACGATTGGATATATAAATATTGTACGAAGGTTGGCGATTTTAAAGTGCAATGTACCGAATGTATCCAGAAATTACATATTACTCTCCATCAAAATTTAAATATACATATAGTAAGTAAACATTCGGAAGAATTAAGAAATGCGCAAGAAACACGCGACATAGTTCTTTCGTCAAAATCCGTCATGAATTTAAAAACTATAGAAGTTAAAGAAAACATGTGGGAATATTATACTAAACTGTCGTCTTTTGAAGCAAAATGCAAATACTGCACCTATAAAGTTAAATATATTTTTATTAAACACCTTTCTATGCACGTAAAAAAATGGCATAAATCCTTATCTGAATGGGAACAAGCAGACGAAAATCAAAAACCATGGATATATTTTAAGTATTCGTATGAATATACTTTTGATAAAAACATATTGCACTCAGAATGTCTCATGTGTGGTGAATTCTTTCTGACTACTCTTGAATCTACAAAGACACATCTGTCACAGCATTCTGAAGAACTACATGACTTCATACGTGATCATTGGGTAATGAAATATTTTATACAAAGTGATGACACTACAAAGTTCAAGTGTACCATTTGTTGCAAAAACATAACCATTTTTATTGATTCTAAAGTGTCCCATCATATAATTGTAAGTCATCCGAAAGAATTGACATTTGAGTATATCAATAAAAAGTAT